GTCTTTGGGGGTTCTGTGATGATAAAACAATATGTTGACATACTGTATGGTAAACAACAAGGTTGAAATCGAAAAGAAATGGACATTCGTAGTAGCTTGACCAGCAGTCCAACAAAGAGCACCGATGCGTGGTGATCAGAGCAAAACAGTCAGCAAACAAAGATGGTCGGCCGCCAAGACAAAGACGGATTACAGTCAACCAATAGGAAAACAGGAAACAAGGAAGATTGTCCGAAAAGAGTTTGACTACTGACAACAGTCAATAGTAACGATGAAAGAATTAAACATGTACAAATGTCAAACACATTGACAGTCAAACCAGAGCAACCAATACAGTCGCTCAAAAGTGCATGGATAATGGTTGTATAAACTGAGCTGAAAACTGGTAATACACCGGATGCTTTTAGGATTTCTCAAATAGAGCTGCAATATCTGTTGGGGGCTCAACGATAGCGGAATGTGTCCCATCTGGGCCCGGGGCTTTGCTCATGTTCACTTCCTCACACCGGATTACGCTCAGGTCACGGTTGTACGAATCCAGTAATCGCTCTACATCGTGGGTTTCATTTACGTCACACAAATCAAGGGTCACGGTCTTCTTTTGTCATGAGACCATATTTGGTTCCCTTTGTATAAGTTTCTACGTTGATCCACCACCAACAGCACTGTTCAAATAGACTGCATTATTTCATCGTTTTTAATCCATGGCATCAAATATGGCATTTCGATTTTATTGATGTCTTTGAATAGGTGTAAGCCTAAAATCGATTGGTTTTTAAGTACGTTAACAAAACCATCTGTCAGTTTGAATTGTGCGAAAACCCTGCATTGTGAACTAGTCGTTGTAACAGTTGTACTTGGTTATTGCTATATAGGTAGTTGACCACGGATTGACGACAGCGTACTATACTACGCGATCGCTCGCGTGTGGTAGTGTTATAATTCCAAAAGGCCAGTACCGATTCGGGGAGAGTTGTGTTTCACGGACAACAATAAATTGGGCTACATAGAACGGAACAGGTCATCATAATTCCGACAAGCACCCAAGATAGTGGATGGAACAGTCTGACGGTAGATGTAAATTTTTTAGTTGCAATTTCGAACGCACTTATTCGTTCTAGGAAATCGTGTTCATTTTTTTTTACCGTTGTGCGAAATCGCCAATCAGTCTTTTGCACAATCCACACACTACTCACGAATGTGAGTAGTACATCACAACAACAGAACTAAGCAGTATACGTCGCGCTGAAGTGGAAGGGACACGTTTTCTGTACAATTCCATGTTAGAGGTAATTTCTTCACGCCTCTGCTCACAACCTCTTCTAAAGTTTCGAAACGATAGTTTCTTACTCAGTTCGATTTTCGACTCCGCCTTGGAATCCAGATCAATGATTATACCTTACGTTCAGCATTGAAATTGTTCACTACTTGATATTTGTCGTTTCGATTGTTAACCAATATCATAACTTAAAGTGTGCTGGTAATGAGGTCTTGAATGGTTCCTAATGCATAAAAGTCAGATGTACCAAAGCGAACAGAGTATTTCAACTGATGATATTCCTAATCAGTGACAAAACTGGCCCTTGGATAATAGTTAATCGAGGCTAGGCACTGATGGTTGCGCTTGACCTTCAGGAGCTGAAGTGTTTGGCGTATATTGCATATTAATGGTTTTTGTTCACTTCTTTGGAGTAGATTATTGGAGAGTATAAGACCGACCAGCTCCTCATTTGACTTAAGCCCATAGATCAACTTGATCTATATACTGATTCTTTAAACTTTGTGATCAGTGTATATTGTTCGCCTAATTTTTGACAGGTAATCCGAGCCGCTCAAAGGAACGCAGCTGTTATCTGGTTTGTTCCTCTGCCTAATTTTACATTTTGTCGTTTCCCTGTTGAGGTGACTTTATCCGCCAGATTTTGGAAGATAATTAGAATGTTGTTTTAGGTTTCGCCCAGGCTTATCAATGCCTCACTTTTTGCTTGTTGCTACTCATTAGGATAGCGTTTAGTTCTTAAATGCTGTTAATTCCTTCGATGCTTTTTGTTATTTGTGTGTTTCATTCTACTTTTAACTGTCCTCAGCCACTGTTATCTCCATCTTGGCCATTTCGCTGCACACCGTTGGAGTGTTCGTGGTGTTTGCGGTTACTTGGGCCGTGGTTATTGCTTGGACAGGATCTATCATCTATGCCCTATTACTTCATATCGCAGCACACCCTTGGCTGAGCTCAGAACCTGTTATTCAAACCCTTTCTTGTTATCATTTCTTTTTGGCCGCACTGATTGCCTGTTCCACTGTGACCTATGTGGTTGCCCAGGCGCCGATGAGCTCCTCCCACGTGGCCCAAATGTTGTTTCTAAGCATCCTCCCTTTCTTGATATCTATAATTGCTTATATCCCTGTAATGTTTCGTTTCCCTGGAAACATTTCCTCAGACGATTGCCTTATCAGTTCACTGGATTCCGACGCAACTAGTCCAGCCTGGTTTGCATACGCTCATGCAATGATACATCATCCGAATAAAGCTTTGGCATCACATGTTCCTCAGGATCTGTTTGCCAGTTTGATGAGGGCCCATATTGTGACAAACAAATCACAAATGATGTTACCCCGCACAAGTGCTTTCCCACAGATGTGCCCTTCCGTACTCAATTCAAGCTGTATTACACGAGAGTCTTATCTATCACGCCTGTTCATAAAAGTTAACCCGTTTGCACTCTTCGCTGCGTATAGTGCTTTAATCTGGCTATGGATCAAATCATTCCCATTTCTGCATCGCCTGATGGCTTCCATTATTCAAGAAGTTGAACTATATGAAGAAGTCGGGTTTTTCGGTTTCATAACGTTTCACTGGAATCGGTTAAATATACCACTCACTCTAGCCATGTTGTGGATTTGCAAATTGACCCTGGTTGTTGTCATGGGACCAGAAGTGTGGCCAGTAGTCCCTGATCAACCAGTTGATGTGTTGTTGGATTTTAATATTACAGCTGTGCGTGATTTTACCAAGACACCGTTAAATCATTCAGATTTGCACAAGCTTTTGAATCGGATTTATGTGGCTGCAGTGATACATGGCTCCGAGACATGGGTCGACGTTTTTGGGGCGGCAACGTTTTTCAGCGCTGTTGCTACCATTTTGGTCCAATTTCTGGTTTTTCTCTTGGATCCGTCGGGGGAACACACACGTGAATTACTGGCTTTAGCTGGTGAGGCTCCAATAAATTTGCATGATAGGAACGTGATTGAAGACCCTGCACTGGCATTGGACCAACATGATGTGATAACCGCGGAAATGTTAACGGGTACAGGCTGGAATTGTGCTGTTGTATTTTTATTTCTTGCATTTCAATACGATTTACCCAGCCTACCTTTGGCACAACGTATCTGGTGTACACTGTACGGTCTAATTGTGATTGGAATGTCATGTATTCATCCGGTACAAGCTTTGATCAAATCTTTGCTTCTTCGTCTTGGTGTCCCTGGTCGTAACAGTTGGTTTCCCCACTGCAGACTCTTACTTTCTTGGCTTTTTCTTGTTTTTTCCTCTATCTGCGTTATCACGTACGTGCCTGAGAGTTTGGCTGAACGAGTTAAAGAACAGGTCAGTATGAACGGTACACAATTAGCGGATGGACTCCGAACTGAACAAAATCAATCGTCCAACCTCGTTCCTCGTTTCGGTTCTTCGTCCAAGTCGCTCAAGGGTCGTCAGCTTCGAATCGTCCTTTGTGGTTGTCAGCTGCTTCTGAGCCTTGTAGTCACTTTAATGGAGTATGGAATCTATCAAATCTCACGCCGCTATCCAGAATGGGGTGGATTCCGGTCCAGCCTTTTCTGGACGAAACTGATCAGTTCTGTGATAGACTATTTGATCTCTTTCATGTCTTTTTTGACTGTGTGTTGGCTGTCCATCTACGATTCGATTGGGTTATGTCGCTTTGTGATCATCTGTTGTTACTTTTTCTTCCTGCTGTATCCTTCGGCTGTTACAGCCTACTCATGGCTCCGATGGCGCCTTTCCTCTCGGCTTGGTATTGAAAGTCTAAGCAGTCCAACCGCAGCACAATTGGAATATAATGAAAACACTTGTCCCATATGTTATATGACCATGACAACGGATAATGCGAAAATCACACGTTGCGGGCATTTATATCATACTGAATGCTTAGCCACATGGATGCTGCGCCAACTATTTTGTCCGATCTGCCATGCGGACCTGTTGTCCACGAGGGTGATAAATCAACGCCGCATGGGGCCTCCAGATGCGATAAACTAAACACTCACCAATTTTTTTCATAGACTACAGGTTGGTGTTGTGTGGTTGGATGTGTTAACCTGGTTAAATGTATTTTTGCCTCCATCATGTGTATAACCTTTGTTGGTATCTGTCACCCCTTCTTCCACATTGGACTCTCCTTCTCCGGCTCATCCACTGATATTTTCAGATTCCAGATTTAGTTTCATGCTTTTCTTTTTGCGTATTGCTATTATTCTATTCAGAAATATTACGAAGTTGCTTCATTTTGCTCGTCTTTCTGCAATGGTCTTTTGCGAATGTTGGGATCAGTGATATTGAGTTAAGCGTTTCTTGACTTGATATATGCTTATGACCATGTTTGCGCTCACAGTCTGGACTCGAGTCAATGGTATCAGACCTCGATCTCTTTTCGGTTTGCTATCTGTTTTTATTAGGCACCTTAAATACAGTACACCCCACCGTTGGTATGGGGATTCATCCCTACTTTAGATCAGTGTCAGTGTCCTCTTCTATAGATTCAGTTTTGTTCAAGTGAAATCCCAGTTAGTTTCGAGTTCACGTTACATATATTTATGGTTCTACGGTACATTCGCCATTACCATGATTATTTTTAACTAAGCGTTATTTGCTATCTTACTGGAACTGATAAGACGGAAAAAGGGGCCAATTGCACTCTGCATAACCGTGCTTCAGATGGTCGATTGAGAATGAAAGCATTCATACTGAAACTAGCCTGAACTTTTCTCCTAAAAAGGCAATTACTTTAGTTTTGATGACGATATTTTTTGCTTACGATTATTTTTAAATATGATATTCAATTTTTCGGTAGAAGCTTAAATTAGCCCATTCGATTGTTACTACGCACCAGGCACCAGTGCTCTTTGTCGGTCATCACAAGTAAATGATATTCAATATTAAAAAGCACAATCTCTGCATAGAGACATCGGACTTGTGTGTACCCGGTTGTCTGACCGTGTACTAGACCACTAAGGAAGTAAACGAGTAAAGGTCGCAAATTTCTCTAATTGGAGGGAGTGCAAGTTACACGCTGTTAGTTTACAGACCTTTTTAAACCTCAGAATGAAAAGCAAATGAAACAGCAGCCGCAATCTAAGATATCCTTAATGCGTTTCATGGTTACGTTGAGCCGATACTATTCTAATCATTAGGAGAAGATCTGTTCGACGTAAATTCAGATAAAACAATGATTTGTCGACAGTAAAAGTAAAAATCACAAGAGCTTCAAGCGGAGATAAATGCTAAATTGGCCCACCACAAAATATACAATAGGCTATGACATTAGGCAGGAGGATATCGCAGCCCTCGAATTTTCGCGTACTACTAGGGTTCACACGTAGAGCCACAGTAAAACCATTAACAAATCGAGAAATTGATTGCCATCTTACTTGAACATCATGACCGCCTTGTTCAAATATATATATATATATATA